TTCTGCAGTAACAGCTGGAACAGCTGTTTCTCTGTGAAATCATGAAGATTGTACTTCTTCAAGAGCTTTGCATTGTATGGAAATGCCACACTGTGTGGATTCTTACACTTCCCTCTGTAAATGACAACATGCCATCCAATTAAAATATTCTGTTTTACTTATAATATTTTTCAATGTTATTGCTTTTGAGTTTAGTGTCTGAGCCAACTTATCTATAATTTTTCATAATCAAAAACCTCATTTAAAGATGCATGCAGTGGTGCTAGTTCAAGTCATTATGCAAATGGCCTGTTTATAAGGTAGTGGACATCTGCATTCAGCTGAGACTAAAGAAGTCACTTGGATGAGTTTAACGTTTCTCCCACTAAAAACGTCGTATCCAGATGAAGGCGTTACCTTCAGCGTGAGCAGTAGGCTCTCTATCATTTATTTACATTATGGGTGTATTGCATTTGGGGAAAAAAATGATCAATGTCCTGTAATTGAACTGTCAAATTGCTGCCATCTTCTGGTCAAAATGTTGCACTACAATCGTGCAAACAGGAAAAAATGGAGTGACCCAAATTCGTAAAATTCATAATGAATGCGAGGGAGCGCAGTCTCCATCAGGCCAAGCTAAAGTCACATTTAACAATTTGATTACGGTGATGTCCACAATGTCTCATGAAATTCAGCTCGGTAAAGTCAAAACAAGAGTTCTTATAAGGTCATGGTGCTTATTCCATCATCATTCACTATTTACACTGAGTATTAAAAGCACTTTTACCTGTGGGGTTTTATTTACACCTGTGTTCAGACTGAAGATTAATTGCTGTGGGAATGAGATCACTATGAAGCACCAATAAGATGACGATACGTTGCAACCATAGGCGATGACTAATAGCAGGAAAACAATTGAATCTGCGATTATTTGCTGGGCTTTAAAGTTTAAACCCACGCAAAGCCGTTTTGCGCTCCGCGTAGTTTGTTGAAAACCCCATCGTGAATGATTGAGCACCTTTTTGCTCATTTATGGCGGTGATAACTATCACCGAGTTATAGGAAAGCTTTCTAGAAAAATTAAATAAATAAATAAATACGTCACTTACCCGAACGTGCACTCTCCGCAAACAAAATACTTGCACAGGTGTAACCCATCGCACTGCGGACACTCTCCAGCTTTTTTCTGACAGAGCCGCAGATTGGTTTTAGCCACTACCAGACTATCCGGGCCGATTATTTTACTTCCCGTCTTTCTTCTTTCTTTAATGGCTATTTTACCGTCGTCAAAGAGCACAGCGCGTAGGACCGAATCCGCAACCGTGAATTTCTGTGCGAGCTGATCTTCTAATTTCCCGAATTCCAAACACCCCTGGTTGTCGCACAAGGTCTTGATGATGAATTTAGACAGAGTCGATGTCATTTTGCAATGACATTTGTTCCTTCAGCTAAGACTTCCAATGTAGCCCAGTTATGGCTCTGACCGAAATCTCCGGCTACGCTCGGTTACTGGGAAATGAAACTGAAACTTAAACACAGAAAGGTTTGTATTATGGTTGCCCTGCCCAGAAGGAAAGTTATCGCTACAAGTTTCTTTTTAAAAATACAAAAATAAATAGATATTGTCACGAGGGCGAGATTGCGTAACATCTAAAATCTGAAAATAAAGTGAATTTGATCTTAAATTAGTAGTAGTGGATTTTCATGTGGTTGCATTAAATCTAAATCAATCGTAAAAAAGAAATGTAACAAGTGTCACCTGGCAGGAACTTTGACAAGGTAGTGGGTGTGTGAGATTAACTCACTCTGGCAGATAGGACAGCAAAAGTCGCAACAAAGAGGCCGATGGTAGATATGGTTATTAGTGTGAGTAGGACGGAGCTCAAGAGCAGAATACGATACAAAATGAAGGAAAGGTGGCAAAAGCAATGGGAGGAGGAGAGGAAAGGG